CGCCCTTTCAGCCGTGGGGGCGTTATAATATGACGGTCAATCCCACTATTCGTTGGTAAAAAAAGTAGCCCAAGAGTTGGCGGTGGGTGGTGATGACTAGCTGCCTTCCCTCTAGCCTTACACTGCTAAATTAGGGACGGCTAGCGCAGATAGCCCTCGTGTAGCTTTGCGCGAAATCCATAACAAACAAGCTAAGCGTGGCTCAGTGGCTAGCATGCTGGACTGTGGAGCTGAGGTTCCGTGGTTCACGTCTCTATCATTAAAAGAAAGGAAAATTGCCCTTCGCACTCTGAGGTCATGGGTGAGTTATAAGAGTGATGAACAAATCTGACAAGAGTTGGCGGTGGGTAGTGTTGAATAGTAACCTTCCCTCCAGTCTATCACTTCAAAATTGAGGAAGACTAGCGTAAGAAACAAACAAAGTATGCTACATTATAGGGTGCAGGTGAACTGGTAGTCTTCGATATACTTCCTTGTAAATCATACGTTTCCTCCACACGATTTTAGCGCCGTGTGTTTATACAGATCTAAACGTTTTCTTGTTGTGAGTTTGAATGAAGTAAGGTGTATAATAGTTTTGTCACGTCTGTGTGAAACTAAGGGGGAGGTAGTAAAGCTATTAGTGGCTGGGTGTACTCTGGTCAGGAGGGTAACTCTGGACAGTTCTATAGGTATTTTTGTCACGTCTGTGTGAAACTAAGGGGGAGGTAGTAAAGCTGTTGTGTTTGGATGTATTCTGGTCAGGAAGGTGACTGGACAGTTTTATAGGTATTTTTGTCACGTCTGTGTAAAACTAAAGGGGATGTAGTAAAGCTGTTAGTGGCTGGGTGTACTCTCGTCAGGAAGGTGACTCTGGACAGTTCTATAGGTATAAATATTGAGTAAATGGTATGTAAAAATGAGAGGAAATCTCTCATTCTATGGCTTGTCAACACGTGACGAGAGTATCTGGTCTTCACTTAGTTAAGTCAGAATATACACATATGACACATAAGAACTTTTCTTTTGAAATGGAATTTTTGTTTCAGAGGATTGGAGAAAGTTATCGGTCAAAACTGTATGACTATAGGTAGGTTATATGGTTAGTTAAGAATCTCAGCATTGATGTGGAAATAACCTACGCTCTTGTTTTAAATTATAATTAAATAATGGTAAGTTGAACATAAGTATTCAAGCTTTATCAGTGAAAAATATCAAGAATATTTTCACTAAAGAAATTTGTGGATCAAAGTATGTATATTTGTTTGTTTTTAAGTATCCCAAGATTGACCCATTTTAGATTTCCATAGCTACTTGTTGTAAATATTGATATCTATGTATGTATTCGTGGGTTTACTAAAATCAAAAGTATTCAAAGGCGGCACCTAATTGGAGAACCTTGATACAATATCAGCGAAGAAGTACAGGTACTATCTTTTGTCTAACATGAATGGCTGAGGATGAGAAGAGCCAAAGGTTCGAGCTGCGTTATGCAGTTGTGGAGGTGTTATAAGTGTAACAGTCACTCCCGTTATTTAGTGAAGAGTGTTCGTATAGACAGTGGGTACTGCTAATTGGCTGCTCTTTTTTCGGTCAGCTGTTCTACAATAGGGATGGTTATGCCTGAATCTTAGGGTTTTCTGACCTGACTTAAGCCCAAGTGTCGCGAAAGGTGCTGTTCTGGGCTGAAAATATTAATGCCAGCAATTCGTGATGAACCTGTTTATAATCAATAGATTAAACATGAGTGTTATGTAACGTGTATATGGAAAGCACTATAAATACTGGTTGAAAAATAGGCCAAAGCAATCAGAGATTTCTTCAGTTGGATAATTATCTTGCTGAGATTATTGGGCAACCAAATTTATGAATCTTGGGTAACAGAAAAAAAAGAGAAAAAGCCTAAGATGTTGAAATGTAAGATTTTTGACAACTTGGAGCTCCTGGTTGTTATGTTTAGCCATTACTATTCTTTCCTTTCTGTAGACATAGTGTCTTGCAAAAGTATTCACCCCCGCTGTGAAGTTCCACATTTTGTTGCCGTCTGTGCTTGCAATCATGAAACTTTCAAATGAAACTTTATATTTAGAATCTAAAGAAAACTAAAAAAATCGCTAATATTATGTAAGTAAGTTATATTTTCAAAGAAAATTAAAATATTCTCAATTGCATAAGTATTCAACCCCTTTGCTGTGGCAACCCTAAATCAGTGCAGGTGCAAGAGATTAGTTTGAAAAGTCACAAATTTAGTGTAATGGTTTCTGTTTGTGTATAATCAAAATTTTTTAACCTGACTTTAAAGTAAATGCATCTGTTCAAGTCACAAATCACATAGTGATACGACAAACCAACCATGAAGACCAAGGAGCTTTTCAAACAAGTCAGGGATAAAGTGGTAGAGAAGCACAGATCAGGAGAAGGTTACAAGAAAATTTCAGTCTGTGATTATCCCTTTGAGTACGGTGAAGTCCATCATTAAGAAGTGATATGTGCTTATTTGTGTGTTTTCAGTGCAAAGCTACATAATAGACTACCCTCACTCTGTCCATCACAGGGAATCGAACTCCAGATTTTAGCGTTACAAGTCTGTAGACTTACCGCTGACCCACTAGGGGACAGGAAATTAGGTAACAGCATTGTATTGTGGAGCATTTGGAAATTAACATGATCAGGTCTTTACCATATCGATGTGCGAGTTGTTATATTTATGCAGTCGATTTTAGTCATTCAACAGAGAAATTATGTCTAACTAGTTTTTTTCTTATGTTGTAAGGAAGTCAGGGAACATTTAAAGTATATCACAATCGAATAACTGTTTAACTAATATGTATTTAATAATATAAGATGTCGCACCGGTACCACTGATAATCCAGTAGTTAGTCTCTAGCAGATTTACCCATAGTTATCATTAAAAAGAATGGTAATGCGAAAAATATTTTTATAACTATCTGCAATTAATTAACATGTTAACAAAAACTAAACGAAGTGATATAAAAATGAAAAATATTTGATTGAACTAATTCAGTTGCAATAAACATACAAGTATAATGATATACATATTTCCATTGTACAGCTTTGTTTCATCACAAGAAACGTCAGCTCACTTTGTTTACCAAGAAAGTTTCGCTTCTATTGTCAAATATGCAGATTACGTAATGAAAACATCGTAGATGGTAACATAACCTCATTAACATCAAAAGTTTCCGTGAATACATTATTCGTATCTGGCACGACTGTTGTGTTCCGTTGTTATAGTGATCAAAATAGAATCTTCGTGAATACGTTGTCATGGCTACGACAGCACATACTGCTTAAATCAATTGTTTGTATATTTTTGTTTTGTTTTTCTGTAGCAAGAAACCGAGACAATATTAGGAGTTGGTCTTCAAAATTAATACAAATTATGGCAATCTGATCGGGTACCAAGCGGAGTCAAGCTATCGTTAATGGGTTGGTTTATTAACCCTCATGATAACTTCGCTGGTACAGTTACTAGTGTGCAATGTTACAATTATTTGAATATTAAAGTGTAAACGTCTATCTATCTGAAGTCTAATTATTAGGGTTGAAGTGTCCAGGAACTTTTGAATTATGTATCATGCTTACAATTTTTGCTCTGGACGACTGCAGAATTTTCAGTGTCAAAGCTCGGCTTGAATCCAAAGTCAAAAGTTGCCTTATGGAGAAATATGAATTGTGTTTGTTTGTTGTTTGCATTGGCTTGTGTATAATTTATCCACTGCGAGTATCGAAACCCTATTTTTAGTGTTATAAGCTTTCAGACTTATCGCTGAGCCACCGGTGGGAGGGGTGGAGTTTATAAATGAAGCTGTATGTTTTAAGTTTTATCAGTCCATAGAAAAACATGTCAAATCAACAAAACTGAAGTTATTACACATAATATAATTTTTGAGGACTAACAGTTATTATTATTTGCTATAGTATTCAAATTCAAACAAGTAGGAATAAGCTTCATTGAAACCGACGAGAGTAAAAACAAATTCGACCTAAATGTCTTTCAAGTGGTATACTTCATTCACCCTAAAATATGGAGGAAAATTTTCATCTGATGATCTTTAAATAACAAATTGGAAATAAATGTCCTTTAAGAATCAAGCTTTACTCAGAGAGATAAAATAGAAATAAATTTCATTCAGACAAAAATAAGAGAAACTTGACCTTAATGTCCCTTTACTAAATGAGTTGATGCAGGAAAGAATGTGAATTAGCTGTCATTCAGATAGAAATATTATAGGCAAAAGTAGAAACAAGCTTGAGTTAAATGTCACTTAACTACCAAATTTCACTCATAGGCAAAAGTAGAAACAAGCTTGAGTTAAATTCACTTAACTACCAAACTTCACTCATAGGCAAAAGTAGAAACAAACTTGAGTTAAATGCCACTTAACTACCAAACTTCACTCATAGCCAAAAGTAGAAACAAGCTTGAGTTGAATGTCATTTTAACTACCAAACTTAATTCAAATAGACAAAATTAGAAACAAATCAGCCTACATGTTTATTAAGTAGCAAACTATTTAAACATACCAAAAGGGAAATAACTTTGTCCTAACTATTTTTCAAGTAACAAAACTTTACTAAAACAAACAAAAGTGAAATCAAATTTAATTCAAGTACAAGTGTCTCAGTTAAATGAACTTGAGCTAAGAGCTTCCTGATCAGCAACTTTACTCAAACAAACTAAGTTGGAAAATATGTGACCTCAGTGTCTTTTAAAAAGAAAACCATCATTCGACCAGAACAGAACTACATTTTGACATTGTTTGGAGTTTTATAGGTAGTGTTATTCCTATGAAAATTGATCGCTATTGGGAAGTGTATATACCAATTCTTTCTGACACAAAATATTCATAAACTCAAATCATAAACATGTGTTCAAATCGAGGATTTCTAATTTCCAAGCTGGGAATATCCTTTGTACTTAATGGCCTTTGAAAACAAAGGAAAATGTATCAACTTGGGACACGGGATTATCCAGAAAGAGATCTGCAACAAGTCATACCCTTATCGTAGTTAGCAAAGTGCGTCTTCTTGTAACATGTGAGAATCTTCGAAAACAAAGGTCATTGGCAAGAGCCGTTCACATGCTCCAGGCAACAATACACAACATAAATCAAGAATCTTCCTCCAGAAAAGCGACATAAGTAACGTGCTCACAAGTTACTTCCACGACATATCACTTCAACCGTCGCATATTTCAAAACAGCTGGAGTATAAAACGGTTATTCGTGCTCTTTCGTACGAAAACATACCGGTCAAGTCGTCAGACGCAGGTTTAAGGATTTCTTTGCGATCAGACTGTGGAATCTCTGCTGGGTAACTATCGTCCGCGTAAACTAGATGGTTTCTGGAAAAGCTTATGTGCTCTGAACATGACAGCCTTACGACGGAGCTATTTGTAAGGGAAACTATGGTAAAAGGTATCGTTAAGATGCACAATTATCAGATAGAGCATGACTGGACGTGGCGACATGGACTGTAACGACGTGGCGAGACACCAAAACATCTTTAATATAACTTACTCGATCACTTTATAAGCTACTGTAATGAATGCAGATGTGTTAGGTTTTATTGGAAAATTTTCAAGTAAGACATTTAGTTTAGTTATTTTGCACAAAAGGCACAACTCAATGACAATAACATTACAGTTCAAAATGATCATCAAACTAGAATTTTTGTGGTCATGAACTCTACTCATCCATCTATCGATTCATCTAAGCTTTTATTTCAGTCAAAGCTAGACATATGTATTATCGATAGTTTAGGTTGCTTTGAACATACTATTACAATTCAAATAAAACTTTATTATAAGTTATATAATAAACTACTTGTCTGAAAAGCCTCTCAACATTATTGAACACATAACAGTTTTGTAAGTATGGTGACAGTTGATATATTTTTCAAGACTTAAAGAAAAACGCCAAAGTAAGCGTTTTTAAAGGAGATCAGTGTGAAAGTGGTTGAGATTAATACGCAAATAGTTACGATCATTGTGAAAATGGTTGTAAGTTATATATATATATATATGAACATAATTTTGCGACTCACGAACGCACTTAAATGTCTGAAAAATAAAACTAAGAAGTTCTGAGATGTTGTTTCTGTTTTGAATGTAAAAATCATTGTTCTCTCTTGAGGTTTTTACAAAAAAAAAGTATTATGCTCTTGAATTCAAATGAGTATGGGACTTCAAGATAATGACGAGAAATAAATCACAAAGTGTCGACAATGTATGCATGTTTACAACATTTAAACAATTACTTGACAGGAAATTTTACACTCAGAAGTGTGCAATTTGAACAAACGGCATGCTTTCCGGTAAATAAAAGAAAAACGCCGAAAAAGAAGAATGAAAACAATTCCTAGGAATAAAAAAGTATGTCAAAAAGTCTAACTTCATTTAGCATTTCTGGTGAGTTGGAAATAATATTAGTCCCCTCAGGAGGAATGTTCCTTGAGTTTTTATAAAAGCAATTGTTAACTATTGAAAACTTTGAACATTTTTTTTCTAGTTTATGTTTTATCTCTGACACTCATTATACACGCGTAATTACACATACAAATTAGTTTCATTATAATCACCTGCTTATAAATATTGTCTCATCAAAGCTGTAGTTACAACGTAATGAGGCAGAGAGCTAATACATTAATGTTATACGAAAACAGAATGGTATAAGTTCATTAGGACAGTTTTGGAAGTTACTTGCATTTGGTTGGATAGTTTATTGTTACTTTACACGCAAGGAAAGTAATCGAAGTTGTGCGTTTCGGGCTTAGCACCGAATAATGCTACCGTAAACCAGAATTACCGGAGCAAACTGGGTCTGTGTTTCGTTCCGTTTCCTTGGAGACACAGTCTTTAGTTTGTATTGCTGTATGATGTTTATCTCTATATATACAATGTTGCGCAATTCTCCTTGTATTCGTATTATTTCTGAAAAAGGATATATAAACTGAGAACGTTGGCAGGATAACATACACCCCATCAACTTTACTAAATCAAGGTTCCCGATTTCGTCGAATCAACAACATAAGGTGAGTCCAGATAAGTTTATGAAACTATAAGTTTATTACAGTGTTATGCTGAGTGCTAAACATGCTATCTATCTAGTAGTGGTTTCTTTTCTAATGAAAAGTTTTCAAACTGAGCAATGAAAATTCTATTTCTTACGTTAAATGTTTAAAGATTAGTGTGTCAGATTTTACTGGATGTTTATTTGGGATAAACTTAAAAACTCTAAGAGTGTATGGTGTTTTTCTATTACGAATATGACACCAAACATTTAATGTATTTTCACACAGTTTCACATCAAGAAATTTACTGATCATATTATTGTTTCTTAGACATAATGGACCCCATGGACAGTCAACATCGTAGTGGAATTCCTAGCTTTGAAAAACAGCAAAAGCGAACCCAGAAACATAGTGAGCACGTGGTGAATACCAGCACGGGCCACTCAGACCATGAAGACCACATCGAGGGGCAGACCGAAGTCCCCAAGCACGAAGGACAGGAGAGCACTCAAGAATAAAGTAATTCTCAAGAAGATGTCTTTTCTATAAAATACAATAAACTATAGATTATTTGATGATTATGTGTGTCCTTCAAACCTTTAGTTTTACACTAATGTTTGATTTATGAGTCAGGGTTAAATGTTATAATTAGTTACTGTTGCACTTCACACCTGAATTTCGTACAAAAATTGTATCTTTACCATTTTATGATTTCTGGCGTTTAGAAATAAAGTATTATATTTGCACAGAAACAAAACATCTGTGTTATCCTGGTCTGCTTTCATTATATCGAACGCGACAGTAAAAGGACTACGTTTGATGATTTTTTTTCCTTCTTTATGAAAAACAGTCTTCTGGTTACATCATTTTTTTTTTTAGATTCTTCCCTATAAGAAGACAAATTTTGTTCTTAAAGTAAAAATGGTGTTAAAATTTTGGTCAACTTTCGAAAAAGAAATAACAAGAAACATGTAGATTATAAGTTTCATGAAATAGTTTGTTTGTTATGGATTTCACGCAAAGCTACACGAGGGATATCTGCGCTAACCGTCCCTAATTTAGCAGTGTAAGACAAGAAGGAAGGTAGCTAGTCACAACCGCCAACTCTTTTACCATCGAATAGTGGGATTGACATTATAACGCCCCCACGGCTAAAAGGGCGAGCATGTCTGGGATTCGAACCCGCGACCCATAGATTGCGAGTCGAGCGCCCTAACCACCTGGCCATGCCGGGCCTCATGAAATAGAGAAAATTTAAATACCTTGAACAAACGTCTGTTAGTTTAGTTATGGTGATAGCTCTATTATGTCACTGAAACGAGAGTGTTTTAAAATTAGAAATCAATGAATACTAACTTTAAAAAAAAATCGAAATTGTAATTGCTAATGACTAGAATGTTGGAAAAACGATGCAACTTTAATAATCGTTTTACCACCTTCTGTTTGCAAACGTTTTTTTTATTTTCTAAATATATATGTGTGTGTGTGTACACTACGATAAAAGAAAAACTATTTCCACTAACAATTCTCACACACACATATATATATACTAGTATAATGTATCAAAATTCGACAAGATTTTAATGAGTTGTGGCAGTTCACTCAATTCATATTATTATCTAACCACACAAAATCGAATATTTGGCCACTAAGATGTGCTCTTTCTAAAAGTTCTTTTAAAACTAAAAAACATTTCCAGCAATATTGATACTGGAAGTGCTCATCCCATGTTTTAATTAGTCGTCCCTGTTTGTGCCCTTCAGAATGACTTTATAACAACACCCATCCTTCGGGAGTTTGAATTAGAACTCAATAAAATTTGCAAACCTATTTGAAACTGAAATGAAAAGATGCATGTGCATTTTAAATAAAATACAAAAATGTAATACATTTTTATTAGTGTAAAACGACATAAACAATACTCTGAAAATTGACTTTTAAACAATCATTTCGATATTATATCATTACAAAAAATTATTATTTAAAAGCTTTGCAATAGAAAATATTTTTATTAAATTTTAGCAACACATACATACAGAACTAACATGCATCCATAAGAGTCGTTCTTAGTAGGCCTTACACCTAAGCATATAATTATTTTTGGCGTATTTCTTTTTTCTTCTTATTCTTTGGATTCATACGCAATGGACGTACAGACATTCGGTTTCACAGATGATATTCTACTGGTAGAACGTGTCGAAATTCACCAAAGTATTTAAAGTTGTAGTATTTCAAGCTACTGTCTAAAACTAAGAACTATCATCGAATTTCTATTGGAGACGTTGTTTACAAAATTCTCTAGTTAACAATATTTTCACCTTCAGAGACATAAATTTTTAACTGATCGAATGACCATATCCTGGAAGAAACTACTAGAGCTGACAGTGAGAGGAAACTGACTCAACTAAGTGCAACCCCGACAGACGGCTATCCATTTTCCCAAAATGATTTCATTGTATGAATATATATTGTAATATAAGACGTAAGGAATATGTATTCGCCACCTGGTGGCCATATCGCAACTTATCATGCTATATGAAACTTACTAACGTAAGTAAAAAGGTTTTAATCTCAATTTAACCTTTAGCACTATAATAACTCTTTTATAACCAAAAGTATCTTTTCATTTATTTGTAAGTCTTTAAAATTATGTAGCTGTGCAGGACAATTTGTTAGCCGTAGGATGGTTGATTGACAAAATAATACTGTATTAATGGTTGTATTAATTATACAACCATCCTGTATAAATTAATAGTAAGCAATATAACTATCCAACTCCATCCTTTAAAATTAGAGAAAATTTAACCTCCAAATTAGAGTCTAGAAAGTTCGTACTAACTTACCCTATATATTAAGTTCAATAATTTGGAATAAATTAACTCACCCCCCCCCCTCATCTGCTGAATGCCAATTAGATTAATTGAGGCATACCCAATTACCTGAAGGTTGTCTATCCAGATCCAGTTACTTTTATCAACACTACAAGTTCAAGAATTATAATGACTGAAGATATGATATTGCTAATATAAAAAAGATGACCTTAAAGAGGCATAGACGATATCGTAAAGCTGGTTAATGCTAATAAAGATTTAAACATACTAGCATTAGGAGTAGTCAATTCTCACGAATAAACAAGCAAATACAATGTAGGGCCAGTTGCACTGGCAAATAAAAAAATATGTTATGCTTAAGAAGCAGTCACACTGATAAATTTACAAGAATAGTATTGTATAGGGACAGCCAACACAGATATAGATACAAACATATGTAACTCCAACGGAATTAAAACTGTCAAAGATCCCGTCAAATAAAGTCTAGGGGCGTATATTAGATAAATTCTTAGCCCATTGGCATTCTACTCTAAAAACTAAACAATAATAGTAACTTTCTTATTACCTACTCTAACAATAATACAACAATAGGTAGCTCAGAAAGTGCTTATTTTAATAAATGAACAATAATGATAGTTTAGCGACAGTCTACGCTAACGGTGTTACAAAAATACGTAGCTCAGAAGTAGCTTATATCAATAAAGAAACGATAATTATAGCTCAGGAAATAACTACAAAAATAACGGCGCAATCATAAGTAATTCAGAAACAGTCCGCCGCCAGAACTGCACACTAAATAAGAAGCAGTCCACTGTTAGAAAGAAACAACAATAATTAAGTTAGAATCAGTGCATTACTGCTAAGGTACAACAGTACTTTAATCAGAAGCAGTCCATCGCTACAACGGTACAACAATATATAAATCAGGAGCAGTCCACAGCTAGAACTGTTCAACAATAATTAAATCAGGAAGAGCCTGTTTTGGAAGAAATAGAATAATTATAACTAAGAATAGTATAACAGCGTTTAGTCTAGAAAGAACCTATTCTGATAAAAAATATGTTAAATTACAGACAGACTACAAAGAAAATAATGAAATCAAAAGTAATTCAGGAATAGTTTAAAATAAGAAAATTAAAACAATAAGAAGTTTAAAAAGTCTGCATTAATGAAGAAACAATGATAACTTAGTTCGAGTCTGCACTATATATAATGGTATAACAATAAACATCTAGAAAGAGCTTAAATTGAGAGAGAAACAATATTGACAACTTAGTGAGAGTCTACAAAACAATGGCACAACAATAAGCATGTAGGAAGAGCTAACACTGATAAATAAACAATAATGACTACTTAGTAAGAGTCTATACTAACAATAGTAAAACATTAAGCATGTAGAAATAGCTTACATTGATAAGGAGACTATAATAACAACTTATTGAGAGTCTACACTAGCAATGATACAACAATAAGTAATTAAGGAAGAGCTTTCATTAATAACAAACAATGATGATAACTTAGTGACTGTCTATTAATTCTAACAACAGTACAATAATTGTTTGTTTGGAATTAAGCACAAAGCTACACAATGGGCTATCTGTGCTCTGCCCACCACGTGTATCGAAACCCGGTTTCTAGCGATGTAAGTCCGCAGACATACCTCTGTGCCACTGGGGGGCCAGTACAATAATAAGTAATTTAGGAAGAGCATACTTTGAATAAGGAACAAAAATGGTAACTTAACGGTAGGTTGAAAAGGTAGCAACAAAACCATCAATAAGTAAGGTTTGTTTATATTTTACAGAATTTTTGAGTAAAGCTAAATACGTATAGCCGTACTTAATTTTGAACTGATAGATTAAAGGGAAGATACCTTGTTAACAGCCGCCAACTCTTATGATATTCTTGCCTGACCAAATAATAGAATTTGACTGCCATTCAAAGTTTCGAGTGAGATTTTGTGGCAACGGGCAGAGAAATGCAAAATTTCGGTTTCACAGACCGAGCACGCTATTCACTAGGCCACGCTCAGCCAAGTAAATAAGAGCAGTTTACACTAACGACAATATAATGAACAATTCAATTGCAAGTAAAAGTTCAGTAAAGTCTTCTTTAACAGCGATTATAACTCATGTATATTTAATTCAAGGACATTTTTTTACAGACAGAGTGTTAAATAAGCTTCTTATAAGTAGTCTACATTGAAAATATTAATAATCCTAAGTGGTTCGAGTTGAGCGTTGTCTAATGGTTAGCGTGCCGGACTGTGAATCTTAGGGTTCATAGTTCAGGTTTCATTGCTACAAAAAATCATCCGTAATTTAGGTTCGATGGGCGCGTTATAAGAATCACAGTCAAATCCCACTATTCGCTAAGCAAAGAAAATTCCATGTGTTTGAGGTAGGTGGTATTATATATTTGTTTAAAAACTCAAAATTAGGAACAGCTAGTGCATACAGCCCTTGTGTAACTTTGCAAAGAAAATTCCAAACACAAGCAAAGCACATAAACTTAAGTTTTACACGGTTGCATAAGTTTACAAATATAATTGTAGGTAAGTAGCTTGAGAGGCCCCTCGGTTGGTCAGTGATAAGTTTACGGACTTACTATATTAAAATCTAGAGTTCGATTCCCCGCGGTGACAGAGCGCATAATGATCCACTGCTTAGCTTTGCGCTGAAACAAACAAACAAACTAAGATATATGGGGGGGAGGGACATTTCACTAAGTTTCGATAAACTAAGATTCATCATCTGATTTTTCAGACACGTTGTGCTACTATGTTAAGACTTTTTTCCCCCCATTTTAACACGTAAATTAATTTATGAAAGCGTTTTGTTAATTACTTCCTTGCACGATGTAAGTGTTACCGGTAACATTTGATTTGATCCTTTAAACTAATTCAAATGATTCTAAGTTTAACCGGTAATCCTTCATTTAATCATTCAAGTGAAACAAAAAATACCAGTTTCAAACAACTTAGACCAATACTTATAGTAGGGCTCAACATTCGACAAAAACAACATGACATACGTTGCTCCACCTAAAATGATACAATTCCATTGGCCTATCTAGACTGACAGAAACTGATACAGTTCGAAAGTACATTTCTCACCTTAGTAGAGCAGGAATTGCCGATTTCGTAATAGGAACTGTAATATGAGATTTTATTTTAAAATATTTATATATTTGTAAATAAAAACCTCTAATGTGTTTGTTACTTTTCACAGCGAGCTTTGAAGTTATAAAGTTTTCAGTCATTTGTTAACAAGAATGACAGAAAACTGTAACTTAACTAATTTATATTTTGCATTCGATCAAGTTGAGGGTATGATATTTTTGGACGTATTGTTGCTATTGCAATCCTAGCCGTGTATTAGTTCCGAGCTACACTGCAACTTTTTAACTTCATTTAACCTTGACTACATGCTAATATGGAATAAGAAAATGATCGATCATGCCCGGGCAACTATTCGTAGTTATTACAGTATTGTAATATACATTTGGAAATCCAGTGGCCCTACTACTTTATCGCAATAGTTACATATGCCCAAGGTGCAGAAACCGTGACTGGTACAAGCGTGTGCTCAAGAAACTGTTAACTGGTCCAAACCAGATTAATGTTACGTTTAGTTTCTATGGAAACGACTTTCCCATGTGTTCTCGGTTTCTTGGTGTACACGTGCCATTTGCGATAGAGCAAATGTTGCTTCTGTTTATAAAGGCTATATAAGCTAAAAGCAAATGTCATATCTTTCACACACACATATACCCAGCCAGCACTAGTCAGCCGATCTTTGGAGATTTCTGTTGTTCATCAACCCTAACTAGGTAAGTTCCAGTATGAATAAATCCGTTTTTCTGCGTACACAAACTTTTATCTTTCACGGGAGGTTTTTATTGAAATATATGTACAATGTGTGTTTAAAAAGATCATTAAATGAAAGGCTGACGATAATCAACTGTTAATTAGTGTATTTCAGTCACATGAATATTGAAAGTGACCGAGTGCTTAGCGTGATTAAACTGTATATTCGAAAGTTCGCGGCCTGTTCCCGTAAAAATGCGCTCCGCATTTTGGGGCTGTGGTTGCTTCATAAAAGTGACGGTCAACTGCCAGTATTCACTCAGACACGAGTATAACAGGAGTTTGTCAGTATTTGCTGTTAACAGGCTGCTTTCTCTAGTATACCAGCTAAAATTTAGGGACAGCTATGTGCAGATAGCCCATTTTTATAGTTTTGCGCAAAAAAATCCTGAAACAAACAAATAATCACACACATTTCCGTGTTTTAAATCACAAGTTGGTCCAAGACTTGCTTACGTCTTTTCAATGGATCGAAATCCCTTTTCAAAGTTTGCTTTCAAATATGTTAGGAGACATAACATAAAACTAAGTCCAATTTTGCTGAAAATATTTAAATAATATAGTCTTCTGTATAGCGATTAAGATGAATGCTCCGCATTCCCAGTTATAAATCCAGTAAAAATAAGAGCAATAAGAAAGACTGCACACCCACGCCCAGCCCACTTCTCCTTTTCCAGATTGTATGTGTTTATATTGGATAACGTCAAATTTCACCTTCAAAAACTCAGCAAATTCTTCTCAGATCCAGAATGATCAGCGATCCGAACCACTTTTGTAGTACGTTGAGGAATTTCAACCTTAATGTGCCCATGAAATTTGGTACAAATCCGGTCACGCTTTACAGAGTTATTAACCGAAAACCGCGAAAATGCCATATCTCCCCATTACAAAGAAATGTTTCAAAGTGATCCAGAATCTGGAACCGGATTTGGATCCAGACCAAATTTGAGGAGGTCTGTCCCATACTGACTTCCAATCATGTGCAAGCTTTTCGTCTACATAAGTCTATTAGTTTTCGAGAAACGCACGTGAAAACACAGACAGACACACACACAAGGTCAAGAGAAATTATTGCCTCATCGCGCCTCAATGTATGTAGTACAGTCATCAGCTCTGCATATATGTGTGTGTTGTAATTATAAATGAAGTAATAATCGGATCGTAAAAAAATTAAATAAAAGAACTGTACCTCACTTTAAAGAGAAAATTTGATATATAAATATCAGAGAGTCTCTTGTATAAATATTTGAATTTAAAACAGACAACGAATAATTTGGTCATACCGTCCCCAAGGGAGTCAGCGGTAAGTTTAAAGACATACAACGCTATAATCCGGAATTTGATTCCCGCGGTGTACAGAACGCAGAAACCCTATCGTGTATGTTTGTGTTAAAACGAAGAAACATTTGTTCATGCTAAAAGGCCTGGCATGGCCAGGTGGTTAGGGCGCCCGACTCGCAATACACGGGTTTGAATCCCCGACCCACCAAACATGCTTGCCCTTTCAACCGCGGGGGCGTTATAAGTGAAGGTTAATCCCACTATTCGTTGGTAAAATAGTAACCCAAGAGTTGGTGGTGGGTGGTGATAACTAGCTGCCTTCCCTCTAGTCTTTCAGTGCTAAATTAGGGACGGCTATCACAGATAGCCCTCGTGTAGTTTTGCGCGAAATCCATAGTAAACAAACACTAGCATACTAAAAAGAAACACTCTTCTTTAATTTATCAAGACCAATATTTTTTTATTCAATGATACCCCACGCACTTCTGTACTAGATTAACATGTTTTACATCAAATTACATTTACTCTTTGCGTAGTTAATAGCTTGAAGAAAAGATTGCAAGAGGTAATTTTGAAACGATTCAGTTATATTTCCACTGTATTATTTTTTCCATCTTTGATAGTAATTGAATGCTTAACTTTCTTAGAGATCCACCTGGAGGTTATTCCATGATATTTGCTCACTAATGCAGCATCATGTTACTATTTTGAGAAAAAAACAACAAAAACGTGCCCACTACAACTTTACTGTTTCGTGAACTTTATCGTTAAATTTATAGTATTTCAAATGCCATTTGGTATCGGTTTTTTAGACACAAATATTCATCGTTAAATAATTTTATGACAACCATAACCTCATTAAGACCCGTTGCTTTCAGAAGTTATATATTTATTTTTTCTGTGCCTTGTTACAAATTATCGAAGTTAGATAAATACGTGTATATTACTGTTTTATTTTGTAACAGACATCATGGACTCTATGGAGCATGGTGAACGTGGAAAGCAGGGATCTGAGAGACAGAGACGAGGTCCCCAAAAGCATGACGAGCACGTGGAGACAATAGCTCACAAGGAAGAAGGACACAGAGACCAAAGCGAGAACCAGAATGAAAGCACAAAATCGGAAGGTCAAGAGTGCACTCAAGAGTAACCTTCACAAAAAGTGTCGTCTTTTGTTGAAAGTCCTAATGTACATTTCTATTAGCGCATATAGACGTCGATGCTTATTCTGTTGCTTTTTCTTGCAAGGTCGTTAATTTCGGTATAATTTGACCAAGATAATTTGACCTTGCTCTGATTGAAGCTATTGTTTGAATAATATCTTGTATTATTTTGGTAATTAGAAATTTTTGGATTTCAGGCGTATGCTCGAAAGAAAATAATTTTGGTTTATTATTCAGAAAATAAAATATGTTGTAGTTGTACTTATACGTGTGAACTTTATTTTATTTGTACATAAAACACCATAATTAAATAGGTATTTAAACGCATCTCTTCAACAAATTTTTGTATAAGCGTCTATCCTCAAAACTAAGTCACTTGCTATTAAACTTACAGGTTCGGTCTACTAACTACATTTTTTTTAACTTGTATACCTTTTAACCCTATTAATTATTTCAAAAGAATTTATACCACCAGAAGAATTTTAAGGTATAAAAATGTCTATCATCTCCTTTGTTATGAAAATCTAACGTTTAAGTCTCTCCAAAAAAAAATATGCATTTATAATCTATATTCTAAGCGCAATGATTGCACTGTACCCACCACAGGAATCAAAGTTTGAAATAGAGCGCTATAACTCTTATCGCTGAGGCACAGGTGGCGCATTTATAAGTGTATAGGTAGATAAATAACTATGATAGAAAAACAACACTCTTAGACCATTTGTTTATAAGAAATATGATATGATGTTATGACCTGTAACCGTTTTGTTTTACTGCTGGACGGCTGAGACCTAGACATTTCTTAAGGGGAGATATAATGGTGGGTTTTCAGTATCTAAAAGTCACAGAATTTTATAGTTTACTAGCCGTCTTTACCCGGCGTTGCCCGGGTATTACCTGAACAGAGGGCAGATGTTTAGCTATTTCTAAACAGAAATAGCGTGTTCTTGATGTTTCTTGCGAACGGGCCCGGCATGGCCAGGTGGTTATGGCGCTCGACTCGCAATTTGTGGGTCGCGGGTTCGAATCTCCATCCCACAAAACATGATCGCCCTTTGAGCCGTGGGAACGTTATAATGTGACGGTCAATCTCACCATTCGTTGGTAAAAGAGTAGCCCAAGAGTTGGCGGTGGGTGGTGATGACTAGCTGCCTTCCCTCTAGTCTTACACTGCTAAATTAGGGACAGCTAGCGCAAATAGCCCTCGTTTAGCTTTGCGCGAAATTCAAAACAAACAAACAATTCTTGCGAACGGCGCTCTGCATGGTAGATGACGTCACTGTCTCTGCGAAAATGTTGCTCTTGCTCAGTCTGAGCTTGACGATGAGCAGCTTGTCTTTTTCGTTGGCTGTCAAGACGTGTTTTCCTTTCTTGTAGAGTCTCACTCTGTCACTTTTATCGCATATGTTTTGCTGCTTGTGATTGGCAATCAGAATTGTTTTTTTTCTCGACATTTTACTCTGAGGTACATAATGAACGTCAGAATGGTTTATCATACTTAACTCCTCTCTCTCCTCCCAAAATAAAGTGAATAAAAACCAATTTATTTTTGCAGAATTTCGCGGGTTCAACTTGTCTATCCTATAAAAACTTAGTTTTGTTATTTGTCAGTAGATGGACTTTTATTCTGATACCACAACTGCAGCATACCTCTCTATAAAATACATATATTTTTTTCTGACGTCATTTCCATTTAAATTAGACTAAAAATCCTGTCCGTCTTCTGTAGAAAAAATTAGATTACAAGGTTTTCATTGATACTAAAAATGTGACGTCACAGACATTAAACATCATTATGCTGATTACATATCTTTATAGGCCTACTACTATATGGGCTGAAAGGTGCGAACAAAGAGACACAAACTTAGCTTTATACTAATATAATTATATATATATTAATATAATTAATATATTTATATATATATATACGTTATATTAAAACAAGTTTGAAGCCTCACCACGTCGTTCCAGTGATGATGTTAAGTCCGGTCTTGCTCTATCTGATGATCATGCATCTTGACAATATAGTCCTGAAAAAATCTCTGTCGTAAGTTTGTCATGTTCAAAGAAAATCCCTCCTACCTGCAGGCTTTCCATAGGTGCATAAGTATTGCATACGGCTACTTGACTGGTATGTCTTCATATGGTGTAGCATTAATACCCGTTTCATTTTTCTGCTTCTTGTAATATGTAACAGTTGAACGGATATGCTATGGAACAAACTGAAGTCGCTTTTCCACGTGTTTTGATAATTTGCATATTCATTATTGTTTTTAATATAACGTATTCAATCCTCTATGGGTTGTAACTCGCATCTGTTATAACGAAACAACATTAAGGGCTGACTCTCAGTTGGGCTGTCAAAACAACTGGCTGTCGAAATATTCTATCTTCTCCCTCTGACTGTACAGAAGAAAGGAGAATAAATAAGTGACATTAGAAATTTACATGGCTTCTTTTGTCAATTAGTTAAATACATTTGTAAAAGAGGCCCCACTCTTCATATCCTGTTTAACAGTTTATATTACAGACAACACGTTAGTTCCTTGGGAAGAAAATAATACGATTAAACATCAACTAATATACAACAATCCCCCCACTTGGAATATGAAGAGCTCAACCAAAACAATAACAACAAAGTTCATGGATCAAATACAGATAATTTGTTTTGTTTGTTTTGGTGTTAAGCGCAAAGCTACACAATGGGTTATCTGTGCTGTGTCCACCATGGGTAAAGAAATCGAGTTTTTAACATTATAAGCCTTCAGATTTGCCGCTGAGCAACTGAGGAACAATACATATAATAGTCATTAAAAATGTTTACATGAAAGCCTAACAACTCTCTTTAACCATCCTTAAAATCTGGTTACGTACCAAATTCTTGGAAGCAAGCCAATGTTACCATGTTCTACGAAGAAGGAAAACCAGTGGATGAACCATAAAAAGGGTTATAGACCAATAAGCCTTAAAAGTTGTTTAGGTAGAATTTTTGAAATAATATTGAAAATATATTATTTATACTTTTTAAAATTGACCAATAACTTAAAATTAAAAGCGGACTTTGAAATTTTAGGTAAACCACTAAACAGTTTGATTAGACTCACTGAAACAGTTAGCAAAATTGTTTAATAAAGATTGCTGCGAAATAGCGTGCTTTCTCGGTGTTGGAAAAACATTTTACATCGTATGACATAAAGGTTTCCGGTTCTAATTGTCCCAAATAGAACTAATTCGGGATATTATATGCTTGCTCTCCAACTTTATAGACAACAGGAAGGTTAATGGAGAAAGCACCCACTCAAAGTAACTGACTCCTGAGACAGGTGTTTCACAGTTAGCTAGGGCTAGTTAGCTCTATTCATCACGCACGTAAGCAGTTTACCATTTCTGGACAAGATTTATTGCAGATGATGTGGTTATCTGAAGAGTTCTCCAAATGCTTCAATAGCATCCACTAATTTTCAACCTTTTTTAAACGTTATAGAATAATGGTGTAGCAAATAGTCATAAAGATAAATTAATAGAAAAACTCAAGTAGTCTGTTTCAGTCTCCAAAAATGAGAAGAAAAAAATATATATCTATACGGAACTATTTTTGCAGGTAGCAGCATCTGTTAAGTTTCTAGGCCTCACGTACGATATTAAGGTTACCTGGAATAAGCATACAAGTAACATTTAAAGCAAAATACTGAAAAAATAAACACTGTAAGAAGTTGAGTTGGCAACAACAGAAGTACTTTAGCTGAAAACATAATTAACATTTATAAATCACATGTGGAATCAGTATGACTAGTCTGGTTTAAGGTAACCAAATCTAAACTGTCTAAAATACAAGGACCGAGCGTGGTCTAAAGGTTTGATTGCCAAACCTAAGATCGATGGTTCGTGTCCCGTTTCCGAAAAAAAAACACGTCCACATTCTGAGACCGTGAGTACATAAAAGAAGTGACGATCAAATCGTCTTATATGGTCAGGCAAGAGTAGCCCAAGAGTTAGCAGTGGGTGCTTTAAATTTGTTGTCTATCATTTCAAAGCTAGGGACAGCTATACTTCGGGTGGTTTTTCACAAAAATACTAAACAATCGTCTAATATTAATTGTATTCCTGTTTGATCAAAGACAGTTATGCCCTAATTTTCTCTTTTATTTTAGATAGACGTCAGCTCATTTTTTATTATTTCATGTAAGACTGTCACGTTTTTTTTCGTCCAAACAAATCATAGTGCCACAATTCTGTTTCGTTCCAGTATTAACTGGTCTTCCATTTTTCCTTTTTCTTGGTCAAAAAACTAAGTAACCTTTCTTGTTTTGTTGTTCTGACGAATATGTAACATAAACATTCTCTTTGTTAGAACTCCTTCCGGGTTTCTTTTTTTAAATCATGAAATTGTTCTTTAAAAAATGACATCATAGTATAAAAGTAACTGTTTTGTAAATGGATTTCTTTTTTATACGCCAATATATGTTGCTTCCGAGAACAAATAGAATAATGTAAGTTAAATAAACAAAAGCTAAGGTTTACAGCTGCACTTTGAATCATATGTACGTGTAAAGTGATCATATTGTGAGCGAATGTTATTTTCATAACTCCATATGGTGCTACGTATAGTAATACAATATTTTATTTCAATATAAATTGACTTTATCCAAACTTATCTTATACGGCCTCTTTAGTTTTACCATCAGCATTAATACTTCGAATGGGTTGATCGGAATATTCGATGACGTTGTTTGTTTCGGATATTCGTGCAAAGCTACTCAAGGGTTACGCTAGTTATATCTAATTTCTAACTAATAGACAATTCCAAAGCCAATATTTGAGCTTCTCTTATCGTACAGTGAGATTCGACTGTTGCTCTTATAACGCACCCACGCCCCAAAGTGCAGAACGCAATGATTTTATCTGGCAACAGGACGCGAACCTTGGTCACTAAGACCGACAGTGCAAATATAATAAACTAAGCCTCTCTATAATTTATTGTTTTTTTATATTTGAAAAAAATGTATAATACAGATTTTTTTACTTACTTATGACTGCTTTATGGACATAATGTAACTAACCTCGAACTTGCAGATCTTGTCCTGATTTCTATGCTCTAAAAACAAGCAAACAAACAAACTAAGAACAATATTTTTTTTTAGTTTTCTGTGCTATGAATTTATATAAAGAAGGGATTTTTTAGCCGTAAAAAGCGATTTAGAAAATTGATTTCTTTGTTCATTGCGGTATGGACATCGTTAGAGTAGGAATTTTTTTTAGCC